CTCTATCACCTTCTTCAGAGTTAAGAAGGGTGACCACGTCTCCGCTTTTCCGTTGGTGACCTAGTTTTTTTTTTTTTTACAAATACAGACCTGAACCTAAATGTGGGTTTTGGTACACAGCACTTTAGTGTTGCAGTAGTACCCACCTGGCACTCTGGGTCTGCACACACGTTCCCAATGGCCAGCAGTCCGGTGTTACTGCTGGCTCCACAGAACCTGCAGGTTCCCGCTGAGGCACTCGACGTCATCTTACCTGCAAGGGCAACACAACATCATCATGGAAGTTCATCTGTGTACTGGTTTAGAGCTAAAACTTTACATTAAAAAAGATGAAAATATTAAATAATTTCACCGCATCATTTTGATTTGATTTAATTTTGATTTTATTGAAACTGCAACAATGCAATACATGGGGAACAGAGGCAGCTGTTGCTGGTGTTGTGTCCTGCACATAGAAACGAATACTGGACAGACAATACTCATTTTCACTTCTAGTGGGGAAAGTTGTGTAAAGTGCCTTTCCCAAGGGCACAAGAACGGTGCCATGTCAGGACTTGAGCCCAGGACCTCTTGATTCTGGCGCACGTTGCCATTGCACCACACGACCCCACCTTCATACATCACACATTCAGCAAAACATATATAAGTTAGAGCCATCCGTACCGGTCACACTTTATAAAATGTTACTTCACTCACCTCCGTTCCTCTCCCTGAACTCCACCATGGCCTTGAGAGTCTTGCTGTCGGCCAGAGCCATGACCCAGAACAGTTTGGTGCGACCACAGCCCTCGTGCAGGTCCACCTTGATGGACTCCTCCTCTTCCTTAAACACCTGTGTGTTGGCGGGGGAGGCAAGACGAAAAATAAGATTTATATGGCGACCAGCCCCTCCAATTCTGTCCTGTCACTTGCTACATACTTCTAGTAATGTAATCCAACACCACAATATTTATTAATGTGTCTTCTGTGGTGGGAGAGATGGGAAATGGCATTCACATTGTACCAAATTTTATCATATTATGATGATTGCTCTTTGTCTTTGTGTATCAGATAATAATACTTGTCTTTGTGTATCAGTATTTTTTAATTGCGATGATGATTTTTTAATTGTATGCTCTGATATGGGCCATGTGCCTGCAATAAAGAATGAATTTGATTTTCAGTTAAAAGTAAAAAAAAAATAATGCCAGAAAATTGTTCCTGGGTGGAAAGTTTACATGGTCTAGCTTAAAGAACTACTGTACAATAACTGTACTACTCTGTTAGCACATACATGTATATATACTTTAGTACTAAGTACATGGTGACCAGCCCTGGTTGCTACATAATGTAACCCAACACCACAGGGTGTCTACTACACCACCAGTTACAAGAATGGTGACAGATGTCTGTCCAGGTCAATGATATGTTTGGGGAAGAAGAAAAAACAAAAGCAAAACAAGATTTTTTCTTTCTGCGAATTTTTAAGGTAAAAGCAATGATCAAATCTGACCTGTCTCTGGTGCTGCCTGGTTTTCCTGTGTAGATGGAGATACCTGTCACACTCTGCACACAGGTTAACATACTAAATAACTACTAAAACACAGTAAATCTGACCTGTCTCTGGTGCTGCCTGGTTTTCCTGTGTAGATGGAGGTACCTGTCACACTCCGCACACAGGTTCCCGCAGTCACTGCACAGGATGATGGCCAGTGTCTCCCCGTCATCATGGTTGTCACAGGTCGGCTGAAGAAGCACAACGTTAAAGAAATGTTAAATTTAATGTACTCCCATGCGCACTTTACCATTTTTTTTGTCCTCAAGTTGTTTATTGATTTTTGCAAGATTTCATGTTGATGCTATTTCCTGTTGTAGATTGAATGGTGTTTGTTCTTATTTGTATATACATGTAGTGTATTTCTGTGTACCTGTCCTGTTTTGTTTTTCAACCAATTGTAAAAATCGAATAGTACATAATTCAGAGGTGTATTAGCATTCCCTGCTTTCGTACGATTTTGTTGGATTGAATAAATTGAAACAAGAAGCCATAGGCGACAATTCTCCGTGAAGTATTATATATTGCAACAAAAAGAAGTAGCCATTGGCGACAATTCTCTGTGAAGTGTGATAAATCGAACAAAGAAAAATTGTTTAAACGCGCGTCGGCTCAGTCATCTTAACGCAACAACCAATCAGAGATGCGAGATGCCTACACGTGACGCGGGAAGGGCGCGCGATGCCCGAAATATTTTTGCGTCAATATTCAGCGCCGTGATTCAAGAGATTAATACCCGGAAACAATTTTTTTCTTGTTTTGAACGCATTAACATGCATTTACGCTAATCTAGTATGATTCAGGGTTACTTTTTTTTAACCTGCCATGGCCAGATTATCTAAAGATGTGTGTATTGTGTGTACAATCTATAGAAAGAGAAATGTACATCAGGTCCGATCATCCGATTTTCACGTTTCGGTTTTTTGGACTCGGTTCATGAACGTATTTTGGTTTGGCTCCTGGAATGTGCAAAAAAATGACTCCCGGGACTGTCTACAGGGAACACTCGCACATTCGCGGTGTATCAGGACAGCGCGACTGGTCGTCATTAGCGCAGTAACAGTTGCATAAACGGACGAAACCATTTCAAAGAAATGGGGATGTTTCGAAAATAAGCATTTACTCCAATATCAAAACAGCTACGGTAAAAATAAAAAGACGTGCATCATCCCGGACATAATGCAACACCACATGCGAAATTACACAGAAATGCGACGTACGGAAGAATGCGTTTTGGCTGCGAACATCTTCCAAAAAACTTGGCATCTCTTAACCATGGGCAAAAACATCTGGAACCACTTATAAAAACCACCCCGTATCTGCATGAACTTTTTTGAACCCCACTGCTATTCCAAACAACGCGTTTTTCTGGACCATTCCAATTCGCCTCGTAATTGTAGGGGTGCGTCTGCGATATTACATTGACCGCGAAAGCAGCAACGGCAAAAATACACATTCGTGCATCAACACGGGCATGCCCGCAGATGGCGTATAAAATTGCGTGCCGATTACACAAAGAGAACCCAGTGTTTTGACTGCGAACATGAAAAATCAGCCGATTACAACACTCCGTCCGGAGGTCCTGACCTCCTTCACGGAGTAATTATACTAGTAATATGTGACTACAAGATATGTCAACCCAGAGTCCAGACTGTAACGTTTGAGCCTCTCACAATAGGAAGGACCCCAGCCTACTCTTTTCAATAAGTTCGGTGTGATCTTTAACATGCTCAAGGTGTGGCTCTCCTCAATTACGGGACCTCCAGCTTTACGTCCCATCCAAGAGAACATGCCTATTAGTAACCAAAGCTATACATGTAGGTACTCATTTTCCTCATTTTCACCTGAGTGTAGTGAGGAAATAGGTGTCAACTAGTAAAGCCAAGTATGTACATGTAGGTACTCATTTTACTCATTTTCACCAGAGTGTAGTGAGGAAATAGGTGTCAAATAGTAAGGCTGAGTACATGTAGGTCGACACTGGGACCTGTAAGGAATTCGAACCCAGAACCATAACCCTTGTCCTGCTGAACTTTTGTTACACAATATTTTGAAGTAATTTGAAGTCGTAATCATGTCACAGACCCCTGACTTTTTTGCCCTGCGGTGGCGTAGTTACTTCCACATTCGTTGCGTTTCGCTGCAGTGTGATGCGTTGCACGAGAAATACTCCCAAATGGTACATACACAGGGCGCTATGTAGATGGCACTGTATGTGCAACCCATTTGGTTCCCACAGGACAAGGCTTAATAAGGTTTAAAGCCCCACCTTCTGTTTGGGCTGGCCGTCTGTGCCCACCCACTGTCCTGACGACAGCCTCTCCACATGGTCCTGGTCCAGCACACACAGGGAGGCGAGAGCCAGCCACAGCTGCAGCGGGCAGAAAAAATATAAAATCTTGATTTAATTTTGATTTGATTTATTGAAATGGTAACAATGCAATACAGGTGAAACACAGGCGGCTGTTGCTGGTGTTGTGTTCCACACATAGAAACGAATACTGGACAGACAATACTCATTTTCACTTGAGTCTAGTGGGGAAAGTCGTGCAAAGTGCCTTTCCCAAGGGCACAAGATCGATGGCATAGCAGGACTCAAACCCCAGACCTCTTGATTCTGAGTCGCGCATGCTGCCGTTGCGCCACATGACTCCACTAAAATCTTTTTACATTACACATTTGAACTTTCTTTGTACCTTACTGTTTGTACGTAAAATAAGTAACGATGCAACAAGGAGAAAAGTCAATTTAATGCCAGGCTGCATAAATGTAAGCAAAGAGAAAAATATAATGCTGGGTACCTAAAAAAAATTTTCAGAAAGTACTCTTTTTCTACTAACAGGGCTTGAAATGCTTTTTCTGCATACCTGCACTGGTGCAGGTAACATTGAACATTACCTGCACCAGACAAATTTTACTTGCATCACTCAGAATTTAGGAAGTAAGGATCACCCTAAAAACTGTTCAGAAACCACTGCCATGATTTCTTTTATACTTCATACTAGGGTAAATAAAGAGAAGAAGCTGCAGTAGGAAAAGCAGGACACCATATAACTCACAGTTGCTGTGTAGAGACACTCCTGGGGTTGTCTCTGTTCCTCCTCCATCTTAGTCAGGGTCATGATGCTCTCTGCAACAGCGCTCTTCGTCACTCTGGCCCACTCCTCAGACAACTTACCCTGTAAGAAACAACCGAAAAACATCATTCCTTTTTTTGAATTATTATTGGGTACAACACAAGAGTGACTTCAATTTGCGATAATCGTACCTAAGTATGTGACCAGTAGTGTTAGATGTCATTTCTACCGTTAGAGATTCCTAGCTATCAGAATCTTTGAGACAGAGACTCCTATCATGATGCTGTAAATGTGTTATTAGGTGGTTTCACATTTAGAAATCCTAAATTTGAAGTCAACGCATTGTTCTAATATAAGTGACATGAATCTAAGTTGAAAAGTTCTGTCTGCCTTTTATGTGAATATCTTAAAATTTACTCAAATTGGGATTTCTACTGGTCTACCAGTAGAGACTCCACTCTGAAAGTGATTGGAGTTTGCCAAAACACAATTACTTAAAACAACTGGATAAAATTAGAAAGCGTCAAACGTTTCGGACTGTATCCAGAGTCCTTAGTCATTATATTGACTGCGTAAGGACTCTGTATAGAGTCCAAAATGTCTGATACTTTCTAATTTAATCCAGTTGTTTCGAGTAATTGTGTTTTGGCTATCATATTACCTGGATGTCTAACCTTCAGCGACGTATGATTGGAGTTTGTTGGAGTTCAACCTCTCCTTTAGCTGTCTACCTATTACTTATAAGTGTAAAGATAAAGCCTGTACTCAGCACTGACCATGGACATGTCCTTGACAAGTCTGATGATGAGCTGTGCGATGTCGCTGGGGACGGAACCTCTCAGCCACCACCGGCTGCTGCTGTTCTTCACTCTGGGGATAGAGTCACAACTGTCAGACATTTAAAGTGCTCATGACACCAAAATCTGATATTTTTTAACGGTGTCGCTCAATGCAAGGCACATAACATGGAGGCCGGTACTTGACGCTGCCCGATGGCAATGTTTTCTTCATTTTGCAGTAAAGATTTTGCAATCTACGGAAGGTTTTCGGTGGTTTGGAAAGAAAAGGGGTATGTGAAATGGTCTTTTATGGTAATAAGTCCGGACTCGGTTCTTGACTTTAGGGTTTTTTGGACTTGAACCTAAACATTCTTACAAGTCCGGATCCAAGTCCAGTGAACCGGTATGCAGCACTACCCATGACACCCCAGACGGTAGAAGTGGAAGGATAAAGTAAGTAAAGTAACCAAACCCCACCTTGAGTTGAGAGCAGTGGCCAGCGAGATGGAGTTGACGCCCTTGCTCGCTGCCTTCTCCACCAGCCCCCCTCCCCCTTTGACCTTGACCTGCACGGACAGAGCCTTGGTGATGCAGCCCAGGAACACATCCAGGATGCCCTGCGTGTCCTGGAATGAGTGAACGAATGAATGAGTGAACGAGTGAATGAATGAGTGAATGAATGAATGGTTTATTCAATTTTTTGATCCAGTCAAAAGCACATCGCAGCCATAGGCTGAATAGCATACTTTTTACATATTTTATATACATATTATGTAAAAACTGTTGGCATAAGTCTCTTTAAATACCAGTTATAGTGCTCATCTTATCCTTCCCTTACAATATAAAACACAAAAAAACGCTACCTTAAAACAGGTAGGTTGAAAGATGGATACAGCATAGTAGTTAAAAAATACATATATATATATATATATATTATGTAATATTATTTTACATAATATACATTCTACAGTTAACAGTGGGAACAAGTAAGTATCGTTTACGTGAAGCAGAGAACAATAAATGAAAGTTCATGTGTGTTGGTAGTTACATGTTACATCATCTACCAGATACCTTTGACCAAGTGTTGACGTCACGTGACAAGCCTCTCTGGGTCAGTCTACTGAGGAAGACCAGAGTGACTGGTCAAAAGCTCTAGGTGAGGTAACTTTTTGTGTTGGATCTTAAGTTTTAACTCTGAACATAAATGTGTCTCACCTTCTGCACATTCTCCGGCTTGTAGCTGGCCTGGGTAAGGACACTGATGTCGGTGGGGGGGAGAGACGCGATGCCCAGGATGTTGGCTAACTGCTGTGGGGGGGCTTCGGGTAGAACTCTCCTCAGCAAGGAGGCAACCTGTAGAGAGTTTAATTTATACATGTATATGGAGGATGACTTGTGTTACAACCGTGTAAAGTGCCAGCTGCATGTAACATGGAACTACTGTTGTCGTCTGATTTTTTCAAAACGTTATTTTTTCGAAATATCATTTCATATTAAACTGTTGGGGGGGGGGCTTTGGGTAGAACTCTCCTCAGTAAGGAGGCAACCTGTGGAGGGCATTATGGAAAACAAAGTTAACAAACAAGGAGACCAAGACATTTAAGAAATCCTAACCCTAACCCAGGGCTTTGGGTAGAACTCTCCTCAGTAAGGAGGCAACCTGTGGAGGGAGTTATGGAGAACAAAGTTAACAAACAGTGATTGAGACAAAAAAAATCCTAACCCTAACCCAGGGCTTTGGGCAGAACTCTTCTCACTAAGGAGGCAACCTGTGGAGGCTGGGGAATATAGAAAATATATCAATGTCTAGTAGTAGTACTTGGGCCACAACATTTATGAATCAGGTTTTGGATTCTCCTGCTTCTGAATCAGGTTCAGTATTCAGGTTCTGAATCTACTCCAAAATGTTTGTATTTTGGCCCCAACAGTTGAAGAAAGTCCTTGTCTTCCTAACTTTGTTTGTACCATAAAACATGGCTGTTAGAATCACCTTGAAAGACTGCTACATGTAAATAATAAAAGCTCACTACATACATTTTAAGATATTGACAAAGCATATTAGGAGCTTAACACAGAATGGCAAAGTGGTGTCAATGGGGAAAAATAACAAAAACAACGACCATAAACCCTCACCTGTCTCTGTACCCTGGGTGTTCCGGTGTGCAGCAGGGACAGGAGATCCTTCATGAGCCCCAGTTGCTGGGCCAGGTATGCCCTCCCCACGGTTGACCCACTCAGGGCCAGCACCATGTTTGTTTGTTTGTTTGTTTGTTTATAACAAAGATAAACCCCCACCTGTCTCTGTACCCTGGGTGTTCCGGTGTGCAGCAGGGACAGGAGATCCTTCATGAGCCCCAGTTGCTGGGCCAGGTACGCCCTCCCCACGGTCGACCCGCTCAGAGCCAGCACCATGGACAGCAGCTCGAAGCAGTACGTGTCTCCCAGCGTGAGCGGCTCGGCTGGTTTAGGCTCTTGTGTCGGCGTGCCAGCTTCAGCCTGCTTGAATGAATGAAAGGTTTATTCACCAAAACACGTTATTTGCAGTCATAGGCTGAATTGTGTGTTTCAATGACAGATAAAAAAGCACACTCGTCACGTACATAGCATATATACATACAAAATTAATTAATATTAAACGTAATTAAAAGGATTCCGAAGTAATTCTAAAAACCTACAGGCCAGTTGGGTATGTACAATGTACGTTCTCTCAACGTTCTATCAATGACTAAGCGTACTGTTTTACTATCACTGGTACTGCTTGTAGGAAAATAGAAAAAAAATGGGGTGCACAGCTCCAAATTTGGTGCACTAAGACGCACATGCACCCAGTATTTCCAGCTCTTTCCCACCATGCCCTGTAGAGCTGAGTTATACATTTGTATAGCTAGGCCCTGTAGAGCTGAGTAAGACTGACCTGCGACGATAGGTTTGCCTCCCATTCGTCCCGCACCCTTGCTGTTTCCATGGAGATCGCCTGGACGATGTGCGCGCACACCTTAAAGAAACGGAAATCAGTAGAAAATGTCAATGTTTACCTTTACATGAGGACGGTCTAGTCTACAAAACTACTACAAACTACTTTGTTCTCAGACTGTTTATTCTGACTGAAATACATATTTAGTAATATAGTAATATAGCTAATAAATGTAATCAAACACCACACAAACACATGCACGCACACACACACGCACACACACAGTGTCCACACATACACACACACGCACACACACAGTCACACGCACACACACACATACACACACACGCACACACACACGCACACACACACACACACACACAAGGTAAAAAAACAACACACCTGTTTTTGCAGGTTGGTGAGTTTGCTCCTGCTGAACAGAATCCCGACCATGTGTTCCCGCAGGTCTGACTCTCCCTTCTCATCCGCCTCCGAACCCGCCTCCTTTCCTCCGTCCGGTTCCACCAGACGGTCCTCGCTGGAAATCAGCTTCCCGAAAACCTGAAACCAGATCCATCCAGAAACAAGATAAAATATGAGGACTGCTGTGCCATAGGAAAGTTAATACATTTTGTCCATAATCTTATTTAGGGCCATAGATTGCCAACCATAGACAACGAAGGGCATCCAAAGTTCTATAATGAAGTACAGTACTGAAAATTGCATATTAACATTTTAGCAGTGATTTTATTTTCGTGACTTCGATTTTCTTCACAGTAAACTTATTCAACTGCAGATAAGGCTTTCTGTATGACTACTGTACAACAATATTGTTTTAAACCCTCTTTTTTCTTCCTACTGTAAAATAAAACAACTGCAATTAAAGTTTTAGGATTTACACTTGTTAGGAATCCAGAAGATTGGAAACAAAGTATATTCCCCTAAAAAGAGCCCCAAGTTTTACAATACAGGTCCAGCAAAGGAGGACAGTTGAGCTCAGGATGTCCCACAAACCTGCTTGGTCAGCAGCCGGAAGACTCTCAGCGTCTCGGCCTCGCAGTTCTTCTGTTGGATCACGACCGGAGCAAGCTGGTTCGACTCCGCGATGGCCTTTCCAACATCTTCCCCGAGAACCTACAGTGGTAAAAAAAAATTTTGTCAGTCTTCTGCAATATTGTCAAATGTCAACATTTTGTTCTGCAAGTCAAAAATACTTTCTGCACAATGCATTCTGTACACACTTATGTAAGTCCCGACCTAAACCCATGGCATATACAATACAACACGGTGTATTCCATATCGCCCGAGGTACCAGCCAGACCGCAGGTCGGATCACCAGACAGCCTGTCGGGTGATCTGACTCGCGGGAGGGCTGGGATCGAGGGCGATATGGAATACACCGTGTTGTATCTTATTTATGTCATACCCACCCAAGAAAACGCGCCTTTCAATGCAAGATGAGCCAAAAGTTGGTGCCCCTAAATCCTAAAATGCAACAACGAAGTCTCATTTCCAACGTCCGGATTCTGTATTCAGATTTTCGAAAGAGGCGCACACAGTTAGGGCAAAACGCGTTCGAATCGTTCTACGGAAGCCATGGAAGCCCGGGCCGTACCTTAAGTACGGCCCGGTCCGGGTACCGGTTATCGAACGTTATCGTGGCCCGGGTATGATATAAACAAAATTACATGTTGACAAACATTTTACCAGCAATTTTTCCATCTGCAAAATTGCAAGTTGCTTAATTTTGCCAATATCAAGTAGAATACAAGACTGCAGGTGGGTTATTTCTAACACTAACCTTAATCTGCCTGACTCTCAGACTGTTGTCAGGCCCCTTCAGCTCGATCTTGACCACCCTGCAGTAAGGCCCAGGGAGGTGGCAGTGGACCCAACCTACATGTCGAGGTTCCAGCTCAACCACCTTGATCTTGCCGAGATCCTCGTTTGCCGCCCCGGCGCTGAAGATCACACTCGTCACCTAGAGAGGCAATATATGAGTTCAGGTTGGGGTTGTACATTCTTCAACTCGTGAGCTCACAGACCTACCCTAAACAGAGACAGGGGCGTCCAAGAGTAGACGGGTCCATTCCGTGAACAAGGTTGATGGAGTCAACCGAAAATTGGGGGTAAGTCCCAATTCCTTGTAGTTAGTGTTGGAAGTTAAAGCTTAGTCTTTATTTCATAATGATTATAATTGTTGCTAGTACAGTCAAGCCAACTGGTGTCACCTCTACTAGGCATTGCACATATATTCATACCATACTTCTTTCTTTGTTCTTTGGTACAGTTCTTTTTAACAAACTATGTCTATATAGCAACATCATTAATACCCAGACTCCATTGTTATACTCATCAGGCCTAGGAAAAAATATGTTGTGTTTCCTATTTCAGTAAACTAGGGTCAGTAGGTAGGGATTAGTTTTTTTCTTCTAATTACACTTTCGTTATCTCTTGTGATCCAACTTATACAATACAGTCTAAAGTAAAACTTGCATGAGGACACTTATATTTTCAATGTTAATGTTAGAAAACCAATATTATTGTACAACATTTCATCACTCAGGTGTCAGATCATGGAGCTACAAAAGGTTGATCAGCTCAAAAAATCTAGGGCCCTTTCAGGGATCTACCCCAGAAAAAAGGCTAGGGTCAGCAGTTTTTTAGGGTTGATCGGGAAACAGGAGACACCAAATTTTCCCAGGCCTCACCTTGTTGGCGAGATCGCGCGTGTTGTCGACGTGGATGTAGACCATCCTCGGGACGCTGCCCCGGCCGCACGTGAGCGTCAGCGACTTGGTCTTGTTCCTGTCCTCGTCGCCGGACTCCCAGAACGTCTCCGTGGACCCGTCGGTCAGGCTGGCGATCATGGCGGTACGGCTGGAAGCCTTCAGCTCGATCTGGGCGGTGATGTCCCGCAGACACTCCACCGTGTAGTTTACCTACAACATGGGGACAACACAGAGTACAGTCAAATGTAAATTAAGTCCCATGTTGTTGAATAACACTGTGTGAATGCAGTCAGACGATCATGGCAATACAGCTGGATGCCCTTAGCTCGATCTGAGCGGTGATGTCCCGCAGACACTCCACTGTGTAGCTTACCTGCATCATAGGGAGTAACGTTATGTTTAATTCATCTTACGAAAGCTCGAAATCAAGAGTTTAGTCTGGCAATCATGGCAGTGCGACTGGACGCTTTCAGCTCGATCTGAGCGGTGATGTCCCGCAGACACTCCACCGTGTAGTTTACCTGCAACATAGGGAGTACAGTCAATCTAAATTACAAACTGTAGAATGTTGAGCTTTCCTTCAAATGTTGACTAACACTGTCTGAACATCAGAAATGATGCCATTCACAGTTTTTCCAAAGAATAATGCAGCTTTCTTTAATATACACAATATTTTAAGCACACATCTTAAAAAAGCTCAGAATTAAAAGTTAAGTCCAATTATAAAACCTCTTCTAGATTACACGTCCCATTTCATACCATGATTACACAGTATGCATTCTGGCAAACTCGTATAACATCCTACATTCAGCATAACACATCAGCTTACCTGAGTGACAGCAGTTGATGACCCATCTCCCATGGAAGCAGAGCTGGTGCTGATGGTCTCGTCCCCGTCCCCCTCGTCTGACTTGGAGAGGATCTGGCTGATGTTGTTGAAGACATGGCTGCGGTGCAGAAACATGTGATCCGCAGGCCGGAACCGCAGACAGTAGCAGCGCATGGCGATCTGCTGCAGCGCTGAGCCGTTGGGCAGAACCTGCAAAAGGAGATGCAAAAAAGATCACTAAGAATACGTCGATGAAGGTTAGACATCCAGGTAATACAATACGCCAAAAAGCAGTTACTCAAGCAACTGGATATGATTTTGAAAACGTCAGACGTTTCAGCTAGTAACCACTAGCTTTCGTCAGTGACTGTTCAGATCACTAAGAATGTTCAACTGTTTTTTCCAGTTCCTTCACGTGTGATTAATGTCAACTTGTGCTCTAAGTTCATTTTGTGACATGCTGAAGAAGAGTGACGGATGTCACTCAAAACGTCCGGAAGTTATCTCTGTTTTTTATCCAGGTACTGTACAGTAGTAGAGTTTGAATTGTCTTTGAGTATCACTTCTTGGTCCTGAATATGACCATTACCACACGGCTGGCCTTACTAGACTGGATATCAGGCGTGATGAACTGTGCCTAAGGTTTGCTCGTTCTCTCACAAGCAGTGAGAAATACTGTGCTTGGCTACCATCACATCATCTAGGTAACTCCTTTCACATTAAAAAAATTGACTCCATCAACCTTGTTCACGGAATGGATTGGAACGTGACGTCAGAGACATGTGATCGAAATAGCCCAAGGTTGATGGAGTCAGCCTAAAATTTGGGGTAGGTCCCAATTTTCTAGTCTAAGTGTTGGAAGTTAAAGCTCAGTCTTTATCGAATGACTCGTACCAACACAGATGAACTTTCATGCGAAGATAAAAAATGGTCTCTCTAACCATCATGATGTCCGAGATGGTCTGCAGGAGGTGGTGGAAGGCCTGGGGCAGCGGGTACACGGCCTCGCCTGCCACGGTGATGTCGGACAGGGGATGGTCGCTCACCGTCGTCTCTCGGTCCTGCAACGATGGGAAAGGCATTCAGAACTGAACATACATTCAATTAGAAAGGTTACTAACATTTGCAAAGCATATTTAATGTTTAGCAGCTTCACCTGGTATAGCCCAACAAACCACTGCTCTGTTAATAGTCTTATTCTTAGCCAAATACATTCATTCAAGTGCGGTGATCAGGCTATCCAACTCTGTTCTGCACATAAAGTAACCCAACACCACCAGTTACCATGGTGAGAGACGTCTGGTCCAGGTCATTGACCTTATGTGTTTGGAGAAGAGGAAACTGAGCAAAAAAACAATATAGTTTTCCTTTGGTAAACATAACAACAGTGTGGTTACACATTGAATGATTTCAAAGTTGGCCGTGACAGAACCAACCACCGACGATTAAAGGCAGCCTTTTCCGCAACAAGACAGCCAGATTTTGCAGGCCTGGACATTCGTGTATGCATGACTTTCCCAAGAGTGGTATCCTCAGCCTGGTATCATATGGCGTTTGTGATCATGACTGGGCCCTTGCGCATGCACCTACATGTTTGTCAGTTATGTCGCCTGACCTGACCTATAGCATGGACACTGAGTTTTGTAAAAAAAAAAATGAATTATACACTCTTTGTTCAGGATAAACATCATATCTTCATGGTAAAGGCATGCAGAAGCTCCAGACACAGGGACAGACCACTTTCTTTCCAGGGGGTACAAATTTGACATGAAGAGAAACATAAACAGCCTTGTCTTCTTTCGATATCTACATGTAAATGGTCCCTCCCCCCAGAGATCCAGTGGTCCACCCCTTACCTCAATCTTGAGCAGACGCCTATTCTCCAGCGCCCTCCTGGGCACAACTTCCTCAGCCAGAGGTTTCTGGTCTGCGGGCTAGTATGCAGGTAAGGCAAGACATTAACACCAACCTGTCACCAACCTGCTCTCAGAATGGCATGCAGCACAGATGGGAAACACTAGGGGGCGTACATGCACAACTTTGACAGGCTAGTATGCAGGTAAGGCAAGACAGCCTGTCACTAAACTACACGTTATGCTCTCAGAATCTCATGTAGCAAAGATAGAAAACACTAGGGGGCGCACATGTACTGATTTTGAGAAGGAAGAATTTTGGGGCAATGTGTCTCCAGAGGTGGAACTAAAAGTTGGTTTCAACCTTGGAATCTGTAAAACGAAAAAATAAAAAAAGCAAAAATCCATGACTTATGCATTTCCTTTCTTTTGTGAACCAAACAACGCTGAAAAAGGGTAGGGACGGCTATTCCGAGATCAGGGTGCGCCAATGGCATCGTGCATTGTTATGTCAATCTTACTCTGTATTTATCGCATTCGGTTGACATTTATCAAACTTGTTATACTAGTACAGTTATTTTCCAGACAATCAGGAAGAGATTTGGTGTTAAGATGTTTAAAACTTATGCTATGGCCAATTTCAGACCAGAAATTGGCATAAAATCTACGTTATGCTGTTGCACTTGAAAAATGCCAGTTTTTGAAATATGCTTTTAAGTAATTTGG